CTCGTCGAGCCCTTCGTCGCAAGCAACGCGTTCGACGAGAACTGTGACCGGTGCTTGAAGTACCTAAAAGCACCGCTAGTGGATCGGGAGGATCCGAGATGACGTGTTTTGGGCGACGTCGACTGCTTTCCATTCTGTCCGCAGGATCGGGAATGTAGTTACCGGCGGCCACGATGAGAGGGTTCTCGTGTCGTGCCGCTTTGTCGAAGTGGGCACGTCCCATCGGATTTTCGTTGCTTTAAAGTACCTCAAGCACTGGTTAATGTTGCAACCTAACTAATAAGTCACAATCCACTCAGTTTCTCGCCGGTGGGTAAATTCAGAGCACTGCTTTTTCTTTATTAATTGACCCACCTTGAGATATGAGTTCTAAGGTCTCAGTATAGTTACAACGGCTGCCCCACCCTTCAAACCGAAACGCATTACTGCTTCACGACAGAATTAGGCGGGGAGGTGGTATCTACCCGTGCGGACTCACAAGAGGTCCTACCACTATGTGTGGCGCATTTACGTTGTAGATGTCTATGGGTTCCAGTAACCACTTAACACCAGGTGGGCTGTGAGCACGTCCACACATCTAGGCAATAAAAATAAAATAAAAAGCAATAACTTCGGCTTAAGTCAACCGGACCCCAACTACCCGCGCCCTCACCCGCACGTATCCACGACCCGCTCTACTTTTTTAAAACTTTTTTATGACCTGGTAACGAAGACCTTTAGGTCGTCTTATTTTAATTTTAATGAAAACTTTTTTATATGAAAAATGATATTATGAAATGAATTGAAGTTGATTAATATGAAACATGGGATGAAATGAAATGAAAACCAAATAAAATGAGATGAGATGATATGGGATGAAATAAACTCTCAGTAAAATGGTGGTCATTTACTGAGACTTTTTCAGTGGCCTTTTTGGAGGATACCGAGAAGTTACGTCCAGCGGCTTTGATTCATTTTCCCACATTTGTGCACTTTCACAGATATTAAATAGTTAATAAACCACCGTTATTACATATTTAAACCTGAAGAAACACTAAATAGACAAAATAAAACAGATCACACAACTTCACTCCTCGCGTTCCCGCCAAAAAGTCCACCCGCTCTACTATAGTGAGGGGGAAGGGAGGAGGAGGAGCAGGAGGGGGGGGGGTTGCGTCTCACATCGAGGCCGACCGCCGTGAACACCATGGCGTGCGTCATGCACGAGTCTCCGTACAGCAGTCGGTCCTCCTTCGGCATCCCAATCTGGATCTCAGTGTTGAAGACCAAACGATAGTCGTGACTGAAAAACGAAATAACACAATAATTCTTTATCCATTTTAAAATTTAACGTTCGTTCGAATGCTATACTACTCATTATATATTATCTATATAAAAGAAAGTCGTGTTAGTTACACTTTATATAACTCAAGAACGGCTGAACTGATTTGGCTGAAAATTGGTGGGGAGGTAGCTTAGACCCAGGAGAAGGACCTAGGATAGGACTTTTTATTGCGTTCCCGTGGGACGTGACATAAAACGTGGAATAACAAAATGCAACTGATATGGAATAATAAAACGCAACTGACAGCTAAACGTAATGTAGTCTATGGTTAATTATAGTAGAATTTTGAAGTTGACCGGTTGATGTGTTTGTTTCGAGTTTCTATTAGCTTATTGTGCCGAGATAGTCATTAAGAAAGCCATGCCGCGACCAACACGATCAAATCTTTTCCGACGAAGCCGTATTGCAACTAAGATTCGAAACATTGCGAGTGAAATGACTGAAGAAGAACAAGAAATAAAAATATAATAATAATAGTAATAATAACAACTAAAATGCATGGCCAATAAATTGAATCATAAATCATTAAAACACTTACTTTTTTAATTTACATTAATTATCCAAATAAAAAATTGACCTTGATAAAATCTGAAGTCTGCTGATTTATTGCCTCTAATGCGGTACAAAGTTCGTCGGGTCGCCTAGTTGGATATATGTAGGATTGGTAAGAACGGAACGTATGAAAAGAATGTGGAAAGGAGCGTTGAGATGTGAGTGAGGGAAAACGGAAAGAAAGGGAAAAGAGAATGACAGAGATAAAGAAAGATGGCGGTTAAAAAATGAGCAAGAGCGTAATAAAAGTGTTAATTACTTTTTAATCATTATTATAACAGAATATTTTGGAACAGTGGAAGTTTTATTATATGCACCGCTATTAATATCTATGGACTTTGGTAATAACCACTTAATATCACATGAAGCTATAAAAAGGCATACACGTCTGTTATCAAAACACGTCATTGCGGATCCTCCCGATCCACTAACGGTGCTTTTAGGTACCTCAAGCACCGGTCACCGTTCGAGTAAATTAACCCTCAGACACAGTCCACTGAGTTTCTCGCCGGATCGTCTCAATGGGTCGCGTTTCCGATCCGGTGGTAGATTCTGTGAAGCACTGTTCTTGCTAGGGCCAGTGTTAGCAAAACTCTCGGTTTGAGCCCCGTGAGCTCACCTACACGTTAAGGAGTAGCTGAACTATCCTCTCAAGTTATCAGCATAGGTAGGAGAAAAAAAAGTTATCGATACTCTCACATTAAGCGCCGCGTCCGACAGAGGGCGCGCAAGTAGTTTCTAGAAATTCCAGTTATACATTAGTTGATAGCGACTCACGCTTCAAGATCCTCCAGGCCGTTCTTCCGTTCGAACCTCTTCGTCACTTCACATCCGAACCACACAGCCTCGCCTCCTTGGATGCTGTCCTTAACGGCCCTGGTTTTTGAATAGCCATTCATTAACGGGTCAAATTTGGGGCCAAAAGAGAGTTATTTGTTTTTTTATTTTTATTTTTTATTTAGTTATTGCTTAAATGGGTGGACGAGCTCACAGCCCACCTGGTGTTAAGTGGTTACTGGAGCCCATAGACATCTACAACGTAAATGCGCCACCCACCTTGAGATAAGTTCTAAGGTCTCAGTATAGTTACAACGGCTGCCCCACCCTTCAAACCGAAACGCATTACTGCTTCACGGCAGAAATAGGCAGGGTGGTGGTGCCTACCCGTGCGGACTCACAATAGGTCCTACCACCAGTGTTAAGTGATGCACCGGTGTTCGAATCTCAGGCGGGTACCAATTTTTCTAATGAAATACGTACGCAAAAATGTTCACGGTGAAGGAATAACATCGTGTAGTAAAAATCAAACCAGCAAAATTATAATTTGCGTAATTACTGGTGGTAGGACGTCATGTGAGTCCGCACGGGTAGCTACCACCACCCTGCCTATTTCTGCCGTGAAGCAGTAATGCGTTTCGGTTTGAAGGGTGGGGCGGGGCAGCCGTTGTAACTATACTGGGACCTTAGAACTTATATCTCAAGGTGGGTGGCGGCATTTACGTTGTAGATGTCTGTGGGCTCCGGTGACCACTTAACACCAGATCGTTTACGCACATCTAAGCAATTAAAAAACAAACATACCCATGACAACATCAAACACCCTGTACGTCACTTACTTGATCAAAACTTCGATGGGCTGATTATTGTAAACAGTCGTACGACCTCCGACCATATTGCCGAGGTATTGTAAGGTATATAAATGACCATACGGATTGTTCTCTCGTGGATCGTTCACTATGCACACCTGAAATGATAACACGGGTCAACACCAAATTTAACTTTGATTGAAAAGCATAAAATTTCGATATTTTAGATCGTAATTAGACGGAAAAAAAAATACATGGCATGAAACAGTTTGCTTTTGAACTTTAATAAATTGACCACATATGAAACAAAATGCATCAGCATCGTATTTACACTTTCGTGACATTTTAAGTTTTTCTGGGCTTGTACAAAACACCTGACCGTTGTTTATGACTCGAGTGCCATCTAGTGGCACTGTGTAAACTTAAACACCCCACTCTCATAGCGCAGTTTTTAGGAAAGTATTAAAATAATTAAAATTGATAAAAAAAAATAAAAATGAGTATTATTAACTATAACTATCACAAAAATTTATACCAAAAAAAGGTATTTTATTTTCGTTTTTGTGAATAATTAACCGGAAAAACCCAATATAAACGTTAGGACAAAGAACGAATTTTTTTTTGTAGAGTTGTGTAATCAGAGCCCTGTAACTGCTAGGTATACTTTAAGACAAATATTTTTTTGTATGGAAACTATCGACATCTTGTAGTGGATGCCCCTAAACTTATATGTTGTTAAAGTTAAGACATTTAATTGTTGTATGACTAAATACAGAAAATAAAAAAATAAAAAATCATACACATATTGATTAAATTTTGTCAATTTGAGGTTTCTGAAAATTTACAAAATCCTTCATTAAAAATAAAATATAGGATAGGCAATATGTTACTGCAATATATATTTTTTTAATTGCTTAGATTGGTGGATCAGCTCACAGCCCACCTGGTGTTAAGTGGTTACTGGATCCCATAGACATCTACAACGTAAATGCGCCACCCACCTTGAGATATAAGTTCTAAGGTATCAGTATAGTTACATGGCTGCCCCACCCTTCAAACCGAAACGCATGACTGCTTCACGGCAGAAATAGGCGGGGTGGTGGTACCTATCCGCGCGGACTCACAAGAGGTCCTACTACCAGTAAAATAAATCTACCGGAGCAATGAGAAGCTAATAGAGTCTAGTGGTCGACACCCGTAAACATTCGCATTAGTTACGGTAGCCAGTTAGTACCAACCAGAACTACGACAGTGACGGCAAAAAAAATCTTCAGGAAACCAGCCATTCCACACACAGAGGTTTAGGTTGTAGATGCGCAGTGTGATGCTAAATGCATTGTGGATAGTTTAGCCCCCTGAGTTTCTCGCCGGATCTTCTGAGTGGGTCGCGCTTCCGATCCGGTGGTAGATTCTGCGAAGCACTGCTCTTGCTAGAGCTAGTGTTAGCAACAACTCCGGTTTGAACCTTACACCCTCACACTAGGCTAACGCTGATATAGCCTCTCAAGGATATCAGCACAGGTAGGAGAGCGCCTTACCTTGTCGTCCACGTCGTACAGCGGCTTCACGTGCCGCGCGTAGAACTCCTGGGGCGTCAGCGGACCCATGACCTGGTACGCCTTGTCCTTATTGTAATACTCGTACGTGAACTTCTCCGGGGGTATACCTGTTTCAAAACAAAAATATATACATATATTTGTGAACTATTTTTACCGTTTTCGACATTTTGTTTCCCTTAAACAGAATCCTTTGGGACTACAATAGTGTCTTCGGTAGCGCGGTCGCCGTCAATATTCATTCGGAGTTGTCCGATTGCGCTCAATTAATTTTGAGTGAAATATATGTTTGTAATTGTCTCACAACTTACAGGAAAAGTCTGTCGCGGATCATTTCTCAATTAAATATAAATTAATCATAAGTAATCAAATGTAATCAAGTTTTAGTTATATATATATTTTTTATGTCTGTTGTCAATGCACTGTCGATTGCACCAATAATTGAGGTGACATCTGCCATGAACTTTTGTCAGTTTGTCATGTTTTGTATTTATGAACACTTTGTTGGTTGTAACTTAGCAAATAAATAAATAAACACGGTTGAAAGCTAACACGAAAAGAAAAAATAAATAATAATATAAATATATACTTTAACTACATACATATATAATTGATAATTGAGGATTAATGTGGTGGTCTCTGATATACTGGATCCAATAGTTAAGTGAGCAAAAAAAGGATACGGGTATATTGAAATCAGATATTGTTATAGTTTAATACAACATACATACAGACGCTTGAAAAGCAAATGTGACTGAGCGACAATGCGTGAACTTTACAGTAGACTATTTTAAAGTTGAAATATCTGAAAAAAAATCTATTTTAACGAATCTAGCTGTAGGATTGAAATGATTTTAATAGACCTAGAAATATATTTTTTTTGCGCATCGAATATGGTTATTGCCTATCATTCATGTACAAAGCAGTTATTGTCGCTTAGTCATGTTTGCTTTTCAAGCGTCGATATATCATTGACAACATTAACAGCTCCCGTCAATTTGTTTGGCCACTCAGACGATACGGAAAAGTGGTCGACATGGTATTACAATTACTTTTTTGACGAAGCATGTTGCTGATAACTTTATTTCTGTAATCTGACAAAGCATGTTGCGGATAATAACATGTACTTTTAGGTTAGGAATATTGTGTTCTTTTTTATAATAAATAAATTGATTTTAAATTACTTTAATGACTTCTATTATCGACTAGTGAATTAGTGCTCACTCACCCAAGCATATAGCTACGATATTGTACACGACGATCATCTGTTTACTGATCGTGTTCTGTATTTCGTCGTCGGATGCATCTGACGTTACCTTTTCTCGCAATTCTTTGGCGAATTCACGGAGCTGATGAAGAAAAAAAACAAAATAAAAAAAAAAAGACATTAAAGTACAGAAGAAAAACATTCGGTACATTTCGCCGGTCGCTTCGCCGGTCGCCGTGGCGCGTGGCTTGATAAGTACATTGCTATGCGTTTACTTTAGTCGCTAGACGCTTCGCCGTTCGCACCGCGCGAATATTCGTACCGGCGAATGTCCCGTGGCCAGGCTGTTACTGCTTCAAAAACTTAGCTTCAAAGTCGATGGGTAGGTAGGGTAGGTACCTTGGTCCTCAGCAGCGCGTTCATGCGCACACTCCGCCTCGAGCTGTACGACTCCGGGAAGCACTTCTTCGGCATTAAGCCGTATTTGTTCACGAGGTTCACCAGCATGTCCCACTGGCCGCCGTCGTTGACCGGATCCTGAAAAAAAAAACGCAATGGAATCAAAAATGTATTACCCTGAAGAAAAAAAAGGGTATTTTGAGTGGACTTTTTGACCTGATAAAGTCTCAGTAAATGACCACCACTTTACTGAAATTATATTTCATGCCATATCAACTCATCTCATTTCATGCCATGTTTTATATTAATCAACTTCATTTCATTTCATAATATAATTTTTCATAAAAAAAAAGTTTTTATTAAAATCAATATAAGAAGACTTGACCTAACTTACGTTTTCTACCTCACTAGAAAACGTATGTTATTAAAACTTCATTGTAGCATTGTGGCAGATATACTGAAATGATAATGACACACTTAATCTTGAAAAATAAAAAACGAATGAAAAAAAATGATAAAAAAAATAATAAATATATTGTGTACATACCTTGAGCAAGAAGTTCACAACTCTTCCGTCAAGTTTCTCCCCCTTTTTAGCGGTCTCCGCGATGTTGTTCAACCAGAAATGTGATCTTTCAATCTTATCCCAAAAGAACAGATAACTGAAACAAATGGTTTAGAAACATTAAAAAGCTCAAACTTTGAGTGCAACCGGACTAAGAAAAATAAACTGGTGGAAGGATGTCCTGTACTGCTGGTAGGACGTCTTGTGAGTCTGCACGGGTATGTACCACCATTTTTGCCGTGAGGCACTAATGCGTTTCGGTTTGAAGGACGGGGCGCCATTGTACTGTTAAAAGTGAGACCTTAACACTCATGTCTCAAGGTGGGTGGCGGCATTTACGTTCTAGATGTCTATGGGCTCCGGTAACCACTTAGCACCATGTGGGCCGTGAGCTCATCTACGCATCTAAGAAATAAATAATAAAAAAAGTAAAAAGAGTTTTATCAAAGCAAACCAGAGTAATATTAGTGGGGTCTTAATCAGTATATTAAAGAAAAAGAAAATCAAATCATTGTAATCTCATTTGTTTTTGATATGTGCGTAAATTTTGAAGTCAATAGAAAGCTTGTGAAATATGATTAAAGAGCAGTATTTATATTATAAATTGAGACTGAACTTATATTCATGTTGTAACGATAACCACTTAGCATCAGGTGGACCACGAGCTCGTTCAGGGATCTAGTATAATGAGAAAAAGAGGACGCAACGTCCGTATACTATTACTATCGATCGTGGTATGATAGTATGGTCGCCCTATTTTCAATTATTTTTCAAACACCAAACTCTGGGAACTGATCCGGCATATTGGTCCTTCTGTGTATTCACTAGTTAGTAATTTTGAGAGTTTGTTTATTTATCAAAAGGTTTCACTCGTGGTCCGATGTGACAAACACTTGTCTGGCTTTTGTAGGGAGACAAGCATATGGCTCATCTGATGATAATGTTTACAGTGGCTCCGGGACATCAGCAATATTAGGGGCACAGCCAAGCCGTTAGCTACCGTAATTTTCATGTTAATTTAGCAAAATAAACAAAACTTTAAACATGACAATTGTTCACATTTATCGAGTATATTTTAAATGTCAATGTACCGCTATCATATAAAATTACATTTATACAAACTATATTATTATGCAATTTATTTTCTCAGTAACAAGTTAACAAACAAACAGTAGATATTCTATTGCGAACAATAAACTGTTCAGATAGCGGTGTGGGTTCACGATAGCACCGTGTGTGCTTGAACCAGTCACAGTATGACCTTCACAGTTTCGAATCTCTATTAATACTGGCTTTTTATAAATTGGCTGAGATGAGACGCGCTCACGTTCTCATATTAAGTCACACTCAACACACATGCAACACTTTTAACCGGTGACGTCATAATGGGCAGTGCGTTGTGAACAGTAGGTAGATATCTCAATTTTAACACTAATGATACCAACACTTACTGGTACCTCTACTACTATTTCTACCATAGCAGGTAGATAACGGTACATGACAAGTATCAATTGCTTCAAATAGCGACGGTAAACGTCTCATCTGAAGAACACATGCAGTCTTGGCTTCTCTAAAGCCAATCTCTATTAAATGTTTTCATCTTTTTCAAATATAAAATTTTATTAGTACATTTAGAAAATAACTCCTTCATACCTTTGTGAGAATTCAAATTCTTCAATTCCATATTTCTTCATGAAAGGCAAACGCATCACGTTGAGTGCTGCAAAGAGCCAGCATCGACCGGAGCTTTCTTGATTGGTGACAGGTTTCCCTTCTGTCTCAATCTGATATAATATTTAAAAAAATCTATCTGGCATTTTGTAAAATAATGTACATATTTAATTTTAGCATCTGAGAAACTTAGAGCAAAAATTTATCACAGAATGCGGTCCGAAACAAAAAGATATAATGGATTCAGTGGGATGCTGAACGACGAAAGGTTGTATGCGTTGTATGATGGCTACCTGCCAGATTCTATCCTTTATATATGAAGGACCAAGCAGGAAGACATCATAGCCCATGTAGTAGCTATGCCTCTGGTGGTGTCTAAGAATGATGGTACCACCCGTGGCCTAAGTTTGTCTGTCTATTAAGGGAATAAAAATTTCTAATGGAAAGAATTTTATTATACAGTTTAGATGCACAATTTATATCATGTGTATTTCCTTTGCAGTATTGTTTTCTAATAAAAACACATAGAGATTTTATCGCTTTTGCAATGAGTTTTATGAGCATTGGAAAATTTTAGTGTTTCAAATGTTTATATATCTATTTCAGTAAAATAGTGCAATATTTAGAGGCAAATATTGTTCAGTCTAACATTAGCTTCATGACAAATACTCTTCCCAGCCTTATCATTGTTATATAAATATTGGAGGTAATTACTGTTTTATTGCCTTTGAAGTTATTGAGTAAAATACCTGACAGTGAGTGGTTACCATGGGTTTTTTTTTCTATATACAGATGCTTAAGTCATTATTGGACATTGTGTCTTCCATTTTGATTGAGTTTTTTAAGTCTCCATAATTGCAACATACACCTCTACAAAGTAATGTTACATATTGTTTGTATTTAATACCTTAAGGTTGAAAACATGAAGTGAAGTATCTGTCTTCCGTCTGTTGATGGCTACTTCGAATGGATCATATCGAGTACAAACATTTTGAGCCAATTCATTTTTTGGTTCTGCATAAAAATCTTTGCGGATTTTTGATAGCTCTTCTAATGTTAGAGGCACTGAAATGAAAAGATAACATCCTAAAATTTGTACCAGGCTCGTGAGTGGTGGTAAAAAGAAGAATTGCACATGGCTATTCAAATAAATAAAATGTTTTGTTACAAATACATTCTTCCTATTTAGTTGTGTGAGCTATTATGGTGAATTTTCATCAGGGGCTTGGCAATTCTTTTTTTTTTAATTCATAGTAAAATACAAAACTGAAAAATAATAAGTAAGATTAAATAAGAATAAGAAAATCGTTTTTTTTATAATGTAGGTATCTTTAGATCAAATAAAGTTTTTGTCAATACAAATCTAAGTTGCTTTACAAACCTATCAATTCATGTACATTGTTCATTTGATAATTATTTTAATATTTAATTCTATTCTCCATTCGACTCACATTTTTTTATATCAGAAAAATATCTTGTAAATTTGGGTCCATTAATAGAACGAAATTTCAAAATTTTAATCATTTCATTTTGATTGACAAGTCAGCCTTTTTAATTGTTTTTTTTAAATAGCAACTAAATAAAAAAGTGTCAGTGTTCAATCATAGCTTATTGGTGAATTTCAATAGTTCGTTGGTCGTAAAATATATGGAATGATAATGCAATTTTGTTTTCGTAGTAACGTGATGCAGCATAACTGTAAGTGAACTGGCTATTACTTGTAGTAAAAAAAACCCTGTAATAAATCTAAAAAAACAGTTTATCGGACAAAATCAAGTTATAAACAAATGAGCTAAATATTTAATTTGATTTTATTTACCTGAAGTCGACATCCTGTGTTTATTTTGCTAGCTAGTTAAAGTACACAGTTGACACTATTTCTAAAGTCGTTTCGAAAATTAATTTAAATTTTATCAAACAAAAAGTTCACGAAGTCTCAGAGTTATTTTTAATTAGTCTGCATACATCATAGTACTTTAACGAAAAGTGAAAACTTCTAAAGGCGCTTTTATTTATATATTTCAGCTGAGCGTAGTTTTGTCTTTTCTATATTTGAATTTGTTTACGGCCATTGGCTAACTGACTTTTTAGTCAATATTAGTTTTTTAAACGGTCTTTTTTCTTTTGTTAAAATAGGTGTAATGATGAGGTTCGAACGAACTATTGTTGAAAAAACAAAAATAATATCTTCTACTGAGCTAAAAATCTACTAAAATCGAATGGAATTGTTGTTAATTGTTTTTTTTTTGCTTACTTAAGCTGGAACCTCATGGGGTTGTCCTAGCTTCACCGTACGTGTGAACTCACTCACTCAGCCTGGCGATTTTTGTAATACTAGCCATAGCAAGGGCTGTGGTTCGCTGAATCTACCACCGGATCGGAATCGCGACCCGCTGAGAAGAACCGGCGAGAAACTCAGTGGGTGTGTCTGCGGGCTTGAAGAAAACGTTGACCGGTGCTTAAAATGCCTAAAAGCACCGATAGTGGATCGGGAGGATCCGAATTGAAGTGTTTTGACCGATGGGGACTGTTTACCGTTTTGTCCGCAGAATTTGGTATGGTTGTAAATAAAATTATTTATCCCTAGCATGATTCAAAATTTGTCAAATATCTTCCTACATGTTTTTTGAATGTAACATCCGGTGATTTTGTTCTATTACCCTAATGAATTTATTACACTAATGCGTTTGCACGGATACTAAACAATTACGGACGTTATTATCCTCATAAGCCGACATTAATCCTAAATCACCATATAAAAAAAACTACCGTTACTCTTTAGGCTCAAACTAAAACCCCCTTATTCTTTACTTAGCTTAAGTCATGTGAAACGCTTCATGGCGCACCTAGGCAGTAAAACCGAACTGTATGCTATGAGGGCAAACGGGATGGGAGAGGTTCTGGGGTCATATCCTCTCCGCGCCGCCGAGCCGCCCTGGCCTCCTTGGATATGGGTGCGGTTTTTTTATTTATTGCTTAGATGAGTTAATTGTTAGTTCTAAAGCTTATTGCTGCTATGAGTTTATTGCTGACGAGCTCACGGCCCACCTGGTGATAAGTGTTTACCGGTGCCCATAAACATCTACAACGGCGTCTTATCCTTTAATTCACGACAAGGCTATATCAGATCGCTCGGTTTTCTAATTTGCTTTGATCATAGCTTTTATTAATCATAAATCATACTTTGATGTTTTACATCTACGAGGCACCCTGTGAAGGCCAGTTATTGAATAATCAACCAAGTGAAAGAACAGTTGGGACCAATTCGTTAACTAAAAGAAAGGTGAAGTATTTAAAAATTACTCCATTTTATTTTTAAACGAGAAACCAGAGGAGATGCAATAATATCCTGCTGAAATTGTGGGAATTTACAGTCACTTCAATAAATTTTTTGCGAGAATCCGATTCCTTTGTCACCTAAAGTGAATGTGTTTCATTTCCCCATACATTAGCAGTTTCACAGACACTAAAAGGTTATTAATGATCCCTTGCGATGAAGTACCATAAAACCAGGGTGTCTACCTTATTCTTTTTACAGAATTAAGCTTGGTAGCTAATTCATTTGGCATCTATTTAATATCAACAGAAGAAACAGGTATTGTTGCCATTGTAAAACATACTGTTTTCAATTTTGTAGTCTATTATGGCAAGAAAATTGTTGTGGAGCGCGAAATTTCAATAACAAATTTTAATATTGTTCAATAAGCTTTATGTTTTTGAAATTTAATGTGATATTAACATCTGGAAATTAAAATTGATTCAACACAGTTTAATTAAACGAACTCTTAATAAAACGAAAGATGTGTTTGCTAATTAACAAAAATGTTTTCGTTCGATGGAGTAAAGTTGAAAATGTCCTTGACAAAAAATCAATACGCGCGATCCAATGTTAACTCCATCACGACTGATGTCATCTACCCAGTAGTAAACTTTACACACTTTACAGTATTTTTCAATCTCCGACTTAGCTGTGGAATATTTTTTCCTCATTATAGTTTTAATCTATCGCTCTTTTTATTTCACAAAAACCATAAAATGTCACTGAAAGCTTACGAAGACGCCTGCTTAAGAGCGGAACTGTTCGGTCAGCCTTTACCGGACAAAGATGAATTTATCAGGAAAAATAAACATTTAGATATTGTTGAATTCGAAGAAGTGGAAATAAAAACTGCTGAGGTATGTGTCCTGATTACTTTGCTTATTATGTACTTGATAATATAATAAAAAAAACTATTAGGTACTAAAAAGTAATATGTCACTCTTTGATTAAATAAAAGTAGATTGTCCGGAAAATAATAAAGTCAATTGATATACAATTTATAAATGTACATTTTTTTTCGTGATTATCACATCGATTAAATTTACGAATTATGTTCCTATTGTTATAGCTATTGGATTGGAGATTGGAAAAAGTTCTATTTACAATGAAATTAGTTCATTTATCGGGTGGCCCGTGAATTTTGTTGAGGATATCTGAAGGCGACTGCTGCTTTTTTCAACTTTTTTCGAAATAACACAATGTAGAGACACCGTGGGCTTTACTTATAGGCGGCCTGTCATGCTCCGTAAGTCGACGTGAGAGTCCAGTAGTAGAAAAGAATACTCGCTGTTATTTGGGAGGCCCGCCTCAGAGATTGGCGCAATAGTCCACATGAGGCTGTATCTCTGATTTGTAAACTCTGTTGCTTAGTGTCGCGAAATCACTAATTTCCTCTGTAGACCCGATACACTTTAATGTATTTCTCACTGAAAATAAGTAACCACTTAACACCAGGTGGGCTATGAGCTCGTCCACCCATCAAAGCAATAAAAAAAAATTAAGAACCTCGTTGCAGACCATAGTCATTACAAGGTTATTCGTTTTAAGTTATTAGTCTGTTCTTTCTCATATTTCAGAATACGGCTATGCTTCATGATCAAATGAAGGAAGGCACGACTGGTCTCACGGAACTCAACACTATCCTAGATTCAACTCAAACGAAAATAAACCGACTAAAAGTGAGTTTCGCTCATCTAAATATCGATCTTCTTTAACTTCGGAGCGTAAAGCTCTCAACCCGCTTTGCTATTTTATATGGTCCTTGTGGCATACTCTGAAACAGTTCTAAGCCGTTACTTAAATCCCGATCATCTGTAAATTAATAAATTAATTCTTACCTTAATTACATTTTTTTTACCCCGATCATGCCTTTTCCAATTGACGTTTTCCCAAGGAAGGGGCTTGATATAAATATCGGGGTAATAGGTAGGTACTCGATGTAGCCAAAATGCCTTCTTTTTAGTTGCAGGCATCTGCGTAGGTCTTAGGATTTAGCTCGGTCTGTTGTGCACGGACGTTGGACCTTCATTTTGCGTTTATTTTGCGAGGGTCTCGTCTCCGACTGAAGACGACGGCTGGCTTCTGCCAATAGTGTCTTCTAATTTTGATTCGAATTATTAAATGGGGCTTATTGACTTGTTTGCCCTTTGGATATAGAAAAGGCCGTGTTGACCCCATCTTGATTCTGTTACGCAAAGGAAGTAAGTAGCTTGTGATGTATTGTGTAATTTCTACACCTTGCTGCGATTACAATTTTAACCTATAGCTATAGGTCTAAGAGATTCTGGCATTGTCTTCTTTGTGTGAAAACCTACACCGCTTTGGACAGTATGCCCAGGGGCAATAAAGTGGAAGACAACGTTTTTCCCTCGTCGATCAAGTGAGATCGATTTGCCGTAGTTGACTGTCGTATGTTAGGTATTAATTTTTTGCAAATGCATGATCTGGCGGAACTTTAAAATGATGTAGGTATTCGGCGTAATGAAATCAGCAATGAAATGAAATCATTTAATTCTATCATCTTCATTATCTGTGTGTAATATATTTTGCTTATGTTTGGTTTTTTTTAATTGCTTAGATGGGTGGACGAGCTCACAGCGCACTTGGTGTTAAATGGTTACTGGAGCCCATAGACATCTACAACGTAGATGCGCCATCCATATTGAGATATAAGTTCGAAGGTCTCAGTATAGTTACAACGGCTGCCCCACCCTTCAAACCGAAACGCATTACTGCTTCACGGCAGAAATAGGCGGGGTGGTGGTACCTACCCGTGCAGACTCACAAGAGGTTCTGCCACTAGTAAAATCATACGTATTGCTAATATGTAATTTAATATGAATGCTTACATTCCCAGGGCGTTTGCGGTAGCATCACGAATTTCTTCCGAGTCAAATTGAATTCCAAAGATAATATTTCGTATTCTAGCGACCCCAGTTACGTAGGTCAAACGAATTTCCAAAGAGACTACGTGCCGGTTTCGAACCGAATCGACTCTGTGAACGCAGGGCTTGGCCCCGACGATACAGAAATGTCAGGAAGCGCGCGAAATGAAAAACATGGCGGTCAACAAAATGGCGGCGACATCAATACGGCTCTGAAACATTTAGATGAGATGCAACAAGCCGATAAGAATGTCAGCAAAGCGATGATTTGTGATATTAGTAAACAAGTTGATACACAAATGAGTAAATTAGATCAGATGATTTGCCAAGCGGATCGCGCTCAGAATTCCTTGCAGCGACAAAATAAGCAGTTGAGGTCTTTCTTGCGATAGTAGTAAAGACTGTTCCTGTTTATGTGCTCAAAATTTATTGTTAAAATTAATGTTATGGTTATTGGCTTTTTGTAATCCCCATAGCTAATAAAGCTACTGTGCGTAATCACTTACGTGGGTATATGTAGATTTGGATATGAATTTTTTTCGTGAATTGATAAATTTGGACCTTTTCATATTGCTTAAAATTATACATAGGTAATACGACATCCCAGACATTAATATAACAAGGATGATGGGTTGCATTGAAATTATAAAATAATTGGTAAAGCGTCTGCATTGAGTAGCAACAATGATATTTTTTAGCCACAAAAAAAAGGTTAAATATCAATATATTTTAAATTTTAAATATAATTTATGCGTGATAACTTTTTTTTGTGGTTAACAAAAAAATGACATTACTGTTAGTGTAAAAAGAATAATATAAATTTTATATATGTATGCAATTACTCTGGATGTTTTCGTGGTTTTGTTTACTGATTGGCTTCATTCGTAATAAAATTACGAACTGAATTTAAAATTGCATAGAAAATTCAATAAAATATCGTTTTGGGAATTACATTTCTTGGTGCTATAAAATTATGTATTATATTAAGCCATTGTTTTGTTTATTTTCATTGCTTAGGTGAGTGAACGGGTTCACGAACCTTTCGGCTTTAAGTGGTTACCGGAGCTCATAGATAACCTAACTTAAATGCCGCAACTTTGAGACGCAAGCTCTGAGTCGTACCTTTCAAACCCGAACGTATGACTTCTCTACTTAAATTTGTATGGAGTTGCAACGATTGCCGCTAGGGGCGCTGTTCCAACTGCATACAAATTAGAGTTAACTTTTACGTTATCGAGAACGTAAAAAAACGTACAAACATAAAGAAGTAATGCGTTCGAGTGGTGTGACATAGACGTGGACAGAGCGGTGGTGTCTACATATGCGGGAGCAAAAGTATCTCTACCACCAATTTCCGCGTGTGCGTATCACGTAGTTTTTTAATTGAAAGAAAAATCGGACATTGTGTTAGCTATTGTACCGTGTGTACTCGTGAAAAAGCAATCTTCTATCCGAGTCTGTAATGAATATACATATTACATTTTTATGAACATTTAGTTCAATAATTAAAATATGGTGTCAAAAAAAAAACACGCTGATACAGTAAGCTTAACTATTTTTTTTATCTATCCCTAAAATATTAACCTAATGACCAAGGTATTATTAGGTCGATAATATTATAATAAAATTATTATCGGTCATCCGATTTCGATAGTTGGGTAAAGTTTCAACTTGTACGCTCGTCTTGAAGGTGCTGAAAATTACGTTGAATGTTTTCGTTATATAGATAGATATATGCAGGTCGAATAATAAAAAAAAATACGTGATTAAAAGTCACAAAACAAATCTTCCAAACTCATAAAGACAAAACGAACGATAAAACGCTTAAGAACGCCTGTTTATTTTTAAAAATCGTGATCTGCAAATGCGTCGCGATACGCAATAAAAATGAAATGTATGAAAAGAACAAACGGAAATAAAGCTGTGAATATTCTTGTGATGTTTTATTGTCTTACGTATCCCATGTTTTTGATACTGGCTTTGGAAAAAAAAATTTTTTTTTTCGCTTATTTGGGTGGAAGAACTCACAGCCCACCTGGTGTTAAATGCTTACTGGAGCCTATAGACATCTACAACGTAAATGCGCCATTCTCCTTGAGATAAGTTCTAAGGTCCATTGGTCTTCTCGATCTTTCTTTATGGCGCCGAATCCTGGACGATAAGACGAAGTGAGAGAGCAAAGATCGACGCTTTTGAAATGTGGTGTTGGAGACGGATGTTGCGAATTCCATGGACAGCACGCCGGACCAACCTGTCCATTCTGAAGGAGCTGTCCGCTATCTGCTTCCGACGTATTCTCGCGTACTTCGGCCACATCGCTCGTAGAGGCCCCGATAACTTGGAGAAGCTGATGGTAGTTGGTCAGGTTGACGGGAGAAGATCACGCGGACGCTCACCTATCCACTGGTCTGATCTGGTTAAGACGCTCACCGGCCTGCCAATAACCGAGGCTATAAAGACCGCCGAGGACAGGAAGACGTGGGGAAGCATTGTGCATCGAGTGGTCCACATTTTAGATTAGACACGACCTTCAGTAATGAAGAGACCGGGTCAGAAGAAGAAGAAGATTATATTATTAACAAGATCTGTCCCGTGGCTTAGCTGAAGTTAATTAGGAATTTAAAAATGCATTGTTCCAAAAATGGAATTGGGATAAAGAGTCGCTTGTGTCCCAGTTTATAAACTACCAATCAATTTATCATGTAATAATAAACATGTTGTAGTACGCATTATTGATGTCCATTAATAGGGGATCCATAGCCATATGCCAGGTTCTAAATTCCTCTGGTATTCTTCGTATAATTTCTCCCTCTGCTATAGGATGATCTACGGTAAATACATGGATTACTAGGAAGTTCATCTCAACGGAGTCATTAGACACATAACTTGACCCTCCTGGATGAGCATTTGCTCATCCACCTGTCCTGGTGGAACTGGAAAGATCTCTGAGCCATCAGTAATCACACATTAAAAAAAAACTTTAAGACTTTTCTTACTGGTGGTAGGACCTCTTATGAGTTCGCACGGGTAGGTACCACCACCCCGCCTATTTCTGCCGTGAAGTAATAATGCGTTTCGGCTTGAAGGGTGGGGCAGCCGTTGTAACTATACTGAGGCCTTAGAACTTATATCTCAAGGTGGGTGGCGCATTTACGTTGTAGGTGTCTATGGGCTCCAGTAACCACTTAACACCAGGTGGGCTGTGAACTCTTCCACCGACTTAAGCAATAAAAAAAATCAAAGTTTCAGTTTTATCGTACTACGGCTGTCGCATTCTGTACGCTTAGTGCGTGCTTTTTAGCGTTCTCGATAGCGTAAAAGTTAGCTCATATTTGTATGGACTAGGATCATTTGCCTACGTTTGCCGCTAGGGGCGCTGTTCCAACTGCATACAAAATTGGGTTAACTTTTACGCTATCGAGAACGTTAAGAAACTCGCACTAAGCACATAGCAAACCGAAATGCAATAATTATGCTACACGACACAATTAGGCATTGTGGTAGTACCTGTCCATGCCGATCCATAAGACGCCCTACCACCAGTAAACATAGCTATTCCGCTATTCAGTTCTTCAATTCGGACCGAATAAATAATGGGTTCTGATTCTAGTAACGACATATGATCAGGTAGTGAGCTCGTGTGTGGGGCACAAAAAAAAACATACGATACTACCAGTTATTGCGTCTTACCTGCAGGTAAATGTGCAGTCAGTCGTAATCACCAGATAGATTGATTTCAGTAAATATTGTGACAAAAAATGTCCTAAGCGTGACGACCTAAACGCAAAAAAAAAATGAATTGAAACATAATTAAAACACTCGCCTTCTCGACAATACAAACAACGAGTTTTATCTAGTGACATTCTCAAAAAGAACCGCTTTTTGTTTTCGGAAGCCGTGGTTAGTTATCATTAAGGAAATTTACTTAGTACTTTTCCTGATCACGCTGTTCAAAAGAAGATACATTTGGCATTGGAATTGTCACGCTCACAGTCACGGCCGGACAAAAACGGTAACTTCAACCGTAACACAGCGTTATATAAGATACAGATTAATGTACCATGACCTGTCTGTCATAGCTGTTTCGTGGCACCGCGATGTTGCTGCCAATCGTGTTTTATCTCTTCGTCGTGACAGCGGCGAATCCATTTCATAAGTACCCCTACGTGTTCTTATTAGACGTCGGAAATGAAGAATTGGAGAAGTCCAACACGGAACAGATAAGGATTTCGGTTCCCGGAGGCTCCCTCGCTCTTCGGTATCCAGCCGTGGGAGATGGAGATACTATAGGTCATGTCAGAGTGAGTGGAATAGATTTTGGAACAGATTTAAAAGCTAATATTGTTGATGGTGGCCCTGGGTATAAATACGTAGTGTTGGTATTCATGGGCAACCCAGGAGTAACCTATGACGCGGTACTGACGATACAAACCGTCCCCAATGAAACTCAAGCCTCTTTTTATCCACCTAATATAAATTATATGACAAATTCACGAGTCAGTGACCCAAATGATAGTTCCGAAGATTTTAATGATGCATCAAGTTATGGTTCTTCTCAAGGCACGATAGAGAGGAAGAACGCAGAGCTTACGCAGTCCAGTTCGAATGTGTACAGATTTGCGCAAAACGCACAAGTACATAATGAATATAATGACGAATACGAAGAAGACGATAGCACAGGAGACGATAATACTCAAGACGACGACGATTATGGGGAAAATGATGACCAAAATGAAGGCAGTCATTCACATGATACCGAAGAACAAGAGATTGATGACTCAGAAACACAAAAATATTCAAGTAACCATGACTACGAAAATAATGACGTTCCTTTAATTGCGTCTGATGATTCGAAAGAGTACGACGAGAATGTATTAGAAGATACGGTAGACGATGAAGCGAACGAGGAAGATCAAGTGGAAATTAAAAGATTGTTTAGTAATGACATTCACAATGATGGAGATAAATACAAAGATTTAAACAATAATGATTACGTAGATAGTGAAGATAGCTTCGCAGTAGCTTATTAATCTTTGATTGGTTGTGGCTTATTAATTTTAAATTTTCTATGCTAGTAAATCGAATTGTTTAGAAATAAGTTATAAAACAATTGAGTGTAGTTTGAGAGACCTACAATAATTGTGTAAAATTCAATACTTCCAGTAGATAATAAATTATAATATAATAATTAATAAATAAAGCAACCCTGTTGGTTAAGCTATGACTTTGTTGTTTCTGCTATTTACGTGAATAGGTATATATCAGGAGTGAGTTACCCATGCGTCAGCCCGCTGAGTTACTCGCCGGATCTTCTCAGCGGATCGCGATTCCGATCCGGTAATAGAACATTCAGAAACCAGCTGCTTTTGAATTGTTAGGTCTCTTTTGGAGGCACTTAGTTGTAAGCAAACCCCACCCCTCATGGCTGAGCTCACCTGTCCTGGTGAAACCGGAAAGGCCTCCGGGCCACAAGTAATTCTTCAACCACAAAAAAGGTGCGAAGATAAAATAAAAAAAAGTATATTAAAATACTAGTATATCAATAACACATGATTTGCGTTAAGTCCTGCAGCAAATGAGATTGTTTGTATTTGTCACGTCTATTGGAGGTTCATAATAAATATGGTGAAATCCTGCACGCGTTTATAGCCTATTCACTTCTGCCGTGAACCATATGTTCCGATTTAAAAGGAGAGGAAAATCGTTACAGAATATAATATGTAATTAGTTGAGCATTCGATATCATCTCTTAAATTGGGCCGACGCGTAGCGATTTCATTGGCTTCAGTAACCATTAACACTGTCTATTTAATAAATAAAATAAAAAAATTACGATGTAGTAGTATGTAGGTATAGACATGGGTGAAGAGGTCAATATCGCGTCTATAGTGAGAAAGAATATTATCATTTACGATTCTCGAATTTCATTGCACGGTTCAAATGTATTTATCGCCCGTACTTATCGACGATCGGTAAATACTATAAATAAATAGTGAAGGCTTCAGGATTAAAATTAATTGTTGAGTCTATAAAACTACTGTTTTTGTTGAGCATGTTTAATGCCTATCGGCAATAGCTTATTGATAGATGATTACACTTAATATAATAGATTATATGTTTAAGCCGATACCTACTTAGTTAACAGCGGTTGTTTTTAAAAATAATTGATGCTCTATTAAATTTGACATATGTTTTTTATTTTATTTCTTAGATGGGTGGACGAGCTCACGGCCCACCTGGTGTTAAGTGGTTACCGGATCCCACAGACGTCTACAATGAAAATTTCGCCACCCACCTTGAGATATGAGTTCTAAGGTCTCAGTATAGTTACAACGGCTGCCCCACCCTTCTAACCGAAACGCATTACTACTTCACGTCAGAAATAGGCAGGGTGGTGGTACTTACCCGTGCGTACTCACAAGACGTCCTACCACCAGTAATTACGCAAATTATAATTTTGTGGGTTTCGTGTTTATTACACGATGTTATTCCTTCACCGTGGAAGTCAATTGGAAACATTAATTAAGTACGTATTTCATTACAAAAATTGGTACCCGCCTGCGGGATTCCAACACCGGTGCATTGCTAGATACGAATGCACCGAACATCTTATCCTTTAGGCCACGATGACTTCAAAACGTTGTTTATAGGCTCCGGTAACCATAGATTATAATATACTAATAATAAAGAAATAAATAACTAGGAACGAACTACGCTCGGTCATCCGGCCCAAAATTAGGATTCCCCTGTATTGTCAAAAATACTTATATACATTTAAATGTAAACATATATAGAAAATGAGCACCCAGACACAGAGCAAACAAACTTGTTCATCATACGAATGTTTGCCCGATGTGGGAATCGAACTCACCGCCCTCGGCACAACAATCGGGAGTGCTAACTACTGGATCATCGAGTCAATCTAATCTATAC